TAGCTTTTCTTCAATATCTCATGAAAAAATCTACCAATCAACATAAGCGACTTACAGCTCGAAGGGTATTGATGGGCCTCTTACCAAAATATATAACTTGTGGCGACTTCAATGAAAATTATTAGTGCTACGGGCGACCATTTGCATTTTGTCGTCAAAGTCCAAAAAAGTGAGATTTTCAATCAAGTACGCAGTTTCATTTGATTATTTTTTTTTTCATTATTTTAAAAATTCGATAAAGCAGATATATCATTACACTAAATTTTGACCCAAAGATAATGAATATCGGATTAGAAATGTAGATGCTATGGAGCGCAATCTGGACAAATTATATATTTTGGTAAAGGGCACTTTGTAACTCGTCGTTAACGTCGATTTTTGACAAATAACTGCGAAAAGTACCAAAAAAAAAAAAAAAGGAAGAAAATTTGCATATAAAATAATCTTTTAATGATTTTCACTTTTCGTGTAAGCTGTTGTAATTATAATATGTTTTACTATACTTTTATAAATAATCGTGTAAAAAAAGATTAATATCGATGAAGAAAACGTGATTCATTTTTAAAGTTTAAAATGTATTAAGAACTTAGAATCATAAATACTCTTTTGATATTTTTATACTACGTAAATATATGTAGGCATATTTTTGAAAAATTGTCCATCATTTTCAATCCATATTTATGGTCACCGTAAGCATACAACATATTCATATGGTACTTGGCAAGCATAAGTGCAGTACATACACATCCATACATACATACGTATGCATAATTTAAGCGCTAATACCACCCTAATGAATACTGGGAAATATTTAGTACCAAATAAACATGTTCGACGCCCGCTGCAAGCATGTTTGAAGTTTGAAACGAACGTGTTTGTAAATAAATCTTGCAAAATTCCGATGCAGTCGGCAAAATACTGGTTTTACCATATACAGACATACATACTTACAAATATGTATGTATGTATGTAGCAGTTTTGTTTTCATATCTGTTAGGCATAGCGCACTTTAGATAGTACGAGTATCTGTGAAATACACACACATACACTCACACGTGCATACGTACTAGAGGTCTGCATGATATCTCTCAATTAAAATTCTGTAAATTTCGGTTTCACCTCGAGTTCTCTCAATATATTGTATGTTTTTGCTTTTAAAAATATCATTCTACTAGCAGAAGTAATCAGTGAACTTCATAGCCATTCGCGTTTCATCGATCAATCGAGGTTGATTGATGTTATGCAACATGGTGATGACTGCGGATTTCTCCAAATGCTAGTTGTGAGGTGGCATTATTAAGAAATTGTAAAAACTTTAATTATTATATGGAATATTTGCCTAAATTATCCTGGTTGATAGCTGTATCAATCGATTTAAAGGAAAACCACAGTCAGCATTTCTTTGTTGTAGCTATCTTAGCGAGTTGGGTTTAAAAGGCCTGGACAGGAATAGGTGGGTTGCCATTGCCTGCCAAGTGGCGACATATTTAGAACAACTTTGTGTTGGATGGTATTCGTAAAACAGATCAGAACTGGACCTTACTGCGTGGAAAGAAAACAACTTTTTTCTATGGGTTTTATTCGATGTTGCTTTGAACAGGGAACTTTTCCAATGGAATGTTAATATTAGAGGCAATAGATGTTGGCATCAAATACAACATATCTGTAAAATATCAAGAGTGTGCAACCAAATTAAAAATAAAATAGAATTGAAGCATGCAGAATATCTGCCACAGTTTTTTTGTAATTTTCGCAAACTTATGATTTTTTTAATTGTAATAATTTTAGACATGTACACTACCCAGAATATGTTTCCGTACAGTGTCTTTTTTTAATATTTGCAATGTTTTTCGTAATCAATTTTTTTTGGAATTTTAATATAAATACATATGGATGGCTTATAAATTAATGATTTAAAGCTTTTACAAAATTTAAGAAAATTCGACAAATTTTCACCAAAATTTTAAATTTTGAGTATAATAAAGTGCAAGTTTTTAGTGGCTATAATCTTCCGTTGATTTTTGAGAATTTTTTTACAGATGCTCTTCGGTGTTTTTTCCCATACAAATAAAACCATCACGCATTCGTTATATGGAGAAAATGAGTAACATCATCAGCAAATCAACGGTAGTTTAAAGCCATAAAACTTGTACTTAATTACACTGAAATTTAGTGAACTATAAAACTGCATACTCAAAAAAAAAATCCAAAAAATTTTGTTTAAAATTTGAAAATTTTGATGAACATTTATCGAATTTTCCTAAATTTTGTAAAAAATTTGAACCATTAATTTATATGCCATTTGATGCAGAATGAACTATATTTCTGTTATATATTACTGTTTAAAAGTTAAAAATTTTGGTGAAAATTTATCGAATTTTCCAAAATTTTGTAAAAACTTTGAATCAATAATTTATACGAAATTTGATGCATAATGAACTATATTTCAATTAAGAATTAAGGAAAAAATTTACTACGAAAGACATTGCAAATATAAAAAAAAAAAACACACACAGTACGGAAACATATTCTGGCTAGTGGTACTTCAAAATTTTAAAATTAAACGGTGAAAATGTTCTTGCCAAAACGAACGAATTTAGTGTAATAAAACTGGTGTGTAGCCATATGAAAAAAATTACATTGAGTAAAATATGACTATGATTTCAGAAACGAAAATTTCATAAGAAAATCTTTTCTGCTAAACCCAGCCCGAAAAACCTGCAGCCCGTCTCTATAGAATGTCCTATTTTATTCAAATTGTACTTTAACTTGCAGTGGCCTGTCAGGGAGCCAGTAAGAGGTTTAAGACTGTCCCAGCTAAGTTCAAGGAGTCTTTCAGAGTTACTCCTGGAAGGAGTTATGGATATCTTTGATCGTCTCATACCCTTTGACTTCCGCCAGTGGGCAGCAAACTGAGATTCTTCCCTGCTCCTAAGTGGTTGCACAGTATATCCTTTAGACGTACCGCACAAAGATTCGGAACTACGCAATCGCATTTTGGCTATATGCTTTGCGCCATATTTAGTGAGCCCTTGTGGGCTCCCAGATGGTTGAAAGCAGTTTTACAACTGTCCACAAGCTTTGATGCCATTTTTAAAAAGTCGGAGGCCTTTTACGCTGCCTAACTATCTGACATATTCTGTCCCTATTTGTCCTTCCACGGAGATATTCGCGAACACAATCTTCGATTGCGAAGACTTTCGCCTAAAATATGGTCGGCTATTTGTCCATTGGCAGACTTTTCTGAAATCTTGGTCCATGTACGCCTGCTATTATCCATCAGTGTCGCATATGCAATAACTAGTTTTGCTACTATATTAAAATATCATTACTTTAGTTTAGGTATATTTCCCAAGTCTCTGACAGGGGCAAAACGCTCATGTAGCCTTGCTGTCCAGAGTTACCCCTCTATTACTACGTTTATACGCACAGAATAATCGACTTAATTGAAAGCGCATTGACACCGTACACATTTCGCTCTAGTGTTTATACTTACGGCTTTATATCGGCATCAAAGTAACCGTCTTCAAAAGCAAACAAAATAAGCTGTTTTCATTTGACATTTTATAAGTTAACATAATGGAAAGTGATACAAATCTAGTTTTATTCGGCATTATAAAATCGTGGCAAAGAAATAGAACGATTATTATTAATCAGCTTTTAAATACTGATGCGATTATTTGGAATTTGAGCGGAACAGCTGATCTCCAATTCGCTTTGAGTGAGAGCGGTGTTTATACACTCTTTCTAACTGTCTGGAGAAATAAACTACCGATTTGAAATGGAGTGTGAGCCAAAACACTTCGCTCTTTCAAAGCGAATTGAAATTCAGTTTATACATATGTTTTGAATCGCGGCGAAATGCATTAAAACGTAGTATATACTTCTTCTGAGAACTCGATTTCTGTCCCTGCCAAGGTGGTTATAGTCAAGTTGACTTTCCTTGTTTTGTCAAATGGGACAATTTTGGACTTTAGTGGATTTATTGACAAGCCCTTTTCAGGACACCAATCATCAGTAGATGCAAATATGCACATTAAGGTGGTCCAAAAATGCATGTGAAAAAGAAAAGTCGGGTTTGTTATGCTCTCACCCCCTAGGATTGTTCTATACCGAAAAAATATACCCGTATTTTTCATTTTGAAATCAGGTCCCTTAAAGCGCCCAAAGTTTTCCATGTATTTTATATATGGAGAAAAGAACTTTTCGTAGAAATGGTATAGAATAGTTAAAAATTAATATATTTCTACCAGAAAACTCTGTTTATCTGCAGGAGATTCCCGGTAATAATACCCAATTGGTTATTTAACAATTTTTTCATCGCAACTATCATTTATAGGTCCGCCAAAAATCCACAAAAACCCCGAAAAATGCAATGGGGTGACCAACAAAAAATCGTTAGTATTAAAATCTGGTAAAAAAAAAACAATTGGGTATTATCACTGAAAGTCTCCTTAAGAGAACCAGAGTTTTTGGATCGAAAAATATTGATTTTCGAGAATTCTATACCATTTCTATGAAAAATTTTATTTTTCCCAATTAAAAATACATGGATAACTTTGAGCGCTTTGAGCCACCTCTAAATATT